TCAACTGCAAAATGGTACAAAACTGTTTTGTTTCCCTTGATCCAATCTACGTCCCCATTGTGTTTCAATCCGTTTTTTTTAGACACCCTGTATAATTTAGGAACATCATATTAGGTGTTGAACTTAATTCCTATCGCTCGCTACTAAAGGGTGCTGGCTCCAACGCTGGCAAGTTTAACGATGAAGTCATATGTCTTTTGTAGTTTAGACATCGCTGATAGTGATTCAATCCTCATAGGTTAGACTTCTCGACGCCAAAGAGATTTTCCAATCGATTGAAAATGAATTGCGATAAGCTGTTTTTCCGACATGTACTTCTTCACTACTTCGACCTCAAGAAAACCGCAGCTGAAGCGCATCGCTTATTATCCGAAGTGTATGGTGATGAAACTCCATCGGAAAGAACATGTAGAGTTTGGTTTGAACGCTTCCGAAACGGTGATTTTGACGCCGAAGAGGAATATTCACGGGCATAAGACCTTGCTGTGCGTTTGGTGGGACCAGGAGGGTGTGCTGTATTCCGAACTCTTGGGTCCAAATAAAACCGTTACAACTGATCGCTACCAACAGCAATTATGCCGACTGAGTGACGAATTGATGCAAAAAAGATCATCCGTAGCTAACAATCGACACAAAGTCATTTTGTTGCATGATAACGCTCGACCACGTGTCGCGAAAAGCATGAAGCAGACACTTCTAGAGCTTGAATGCGAAGTTCTCCCGCATCTAGCGTACTCTCCAGACTTGGCACCGTCGGATTACGATCGCTGCAACACGCATTTACGGACACACATTTCTCCAGTTACAATGAAGTCAAAAAATGGGTGGATGAATGGATCGCCTCGAAAGACACCGCGTTCTACCGTCGTGGGATTGCCCTGTTGCCAGAGAGATGGGAAAAAGTAGTAGAAAACGGAGGAAATTACTTTGATTAAGGTATTCATTCAGCTTCCCTTCGAAATAAATCAATTTTGGAGACAAAAAAACGACAGGAATTAAGTTCAACACCTAATAGAAACAGAATTTAAATACCGATTTAAAGCTCTTTCTTTATCGTTTAAAATGCATTTTGGAAAACTTTTACGATTTTTTCACAGAGATACTTAAATTTTCTTGAATATCTCAATAAGCGTTATTAAATTTATGAACGATAGTGTATACATAATAATGTTTATCCTTTTATAAAAAAACAATCGCATTGATAAATGTGTTTAATCTGATACTCATTTATAAACATTATAACACAAGAGAATTTTTATAAATACTAATAATAAAATTAGATTTACGTAAACGTTTGTAATGTTTTATATCAATATCATGAAAAATACTTCGAAAACATAAAGGGATTTCTTTGCTTATTATGTTTTATCACACAATTTTTTATCGTAAATGTTTAAACGTATATCAAAGGAAGAACAAATTTGAAATAAAAAAAGTCAATAGTTACTAAAATAAATTTATTTAAAATTGCATGAAAAGATACAAATCTCATTGCAATGTTGCTTGAAATCATTATTTCATAATTATTTTCATTGTGTTGTTCATGTTTTAGGAGGATTATTTTACAAATATATTTAAAAACATAATAAAAAGAAACCAAAATTTTCGCAAAAACTATTTTTATAACTTTATTCAAAAACATAATGAAACAATTTCAAATATAAGAATGTGGAAAAGAAGTAAAATCAAAGTGACAAAAAACCATAAATAATGGCATAGAAAAAGAAGTGAAATCAAAATTCAAGTATATTTATTAAAATAAGTCTGACGGAACACAATGCTCTTGCATTAGGATAGGTACTATGTCCTCTAAACACATTCTTAGGATATTTCTTGGACAACTGTGTTGTGTGGGATAATCTCTAATCATAATAGACATAGGTTGCATTCCGTTTCACGCATGATGCGCATGATGTCTCATTTATCTTGTTTAATATTTGATGAATAACAAGGAGAAATAATACATTACGTGTATCATGCAAGGAACGTACCTATATAGTACAGTAGACATTTAAAGTGTATAAAATATAGCAATAAATTAAAATGAGAACATGAAATGTAATAGATAGCAAATGAGAGATGCAAATATTGAAAAGGAATTTTTACATCAATAACAAGCAATAAATTGTATGAGAAACAAAAAATCGAAGATGGACAGCATAGCAGCAACATACTTGACGATATACGAGGGTCGTCTGAAAAGTTTTGAGCCTAACATAGAAACAAGTAATTTTTCGGTCAAATTCAATTTTATTTTTCCACATAGTCTCCTTTTAAGTCGATACATTTTTTCCAGCGATGCTCCCACCCCTTTAATCCATTCAAATAATACTGAGCGTCTTGCTTTGCAAAATAGGCGTCTACGGATGCGATGACCTTTTCGTTCGATGAAAATTTCTGTCCTCCGAGCCAAACTTTGAGCTTAGGAAACAGAAAAAAGTCGCTGGGGGCCAGATCTGGTGAATACGGTGGATGGTCAATTAATTCGAACTGCAATTCGTGAATTTTTGCCATAGCGACCACCGAAGTGTGAGACGGTGCGTTATCTTAATGGAACAGCATTTTCTTCTTTTTCAAATGCGGTCGTTTTTTCTCAATTTCTGCCTTCAGTTTGTCAAGCAATGATGCGTAGTACATCCCTGTTATTGTTTTACCTTTTTCAAGATAATCGATCAACACAATTCCGTCCCAAAAAACAGTCGCCATCACCTTTCTCGCTGATAAAACCGTCTTCGCTTTCTTCGAAGCAGGTTCACCCTTCGCAGTCCACTGTTTTAATTCTTTCGTTTCAGGAGTGGACCCAAGTTTCATCAACCGTTATTAATCGACGCAAAAAATCCGACTCGTTTCGCTTAAAACGCTCCAACAGGGCCTTAGAAATGTTCATTCGAATGCGTTTTTAATCCAGAGTGAGCAAGCGCGGCACTCAACGCGCGATTAATTTACGCATGCCTAATTTTTCAGTCAATATGTATATGACAAACACGTTCTTTTGATATGCCAACAGCCTCTGCTATCTCCCTAACCTTAATTCGACGGTTGTCCATTATCATTTGATGAATTTCTTCGATGTTATCGGTGGTGATCGCAGTTGTTGGCCATCCCGAACGCTCATCATCAGCTAAGTTGGTACGACCACGTTTAAATTCAGCTACCCATTTTTTCACAGTGGCAAATGATGGGACAGAGTCTCCGTAAACAGCGTCCAACTCGGCTTTAATTTGCGTAGACGTATTGCCTTTCAAATGTAAGAATTTAATTATAGCACGATATTCAATTTTTTCCATTTTTACAAAATGACGCAAATGATTGTCAAACAAGAACTGAACGTCCAAAGTGGCCACAATTGTCACAGATATCTTTTGTAAGTATCACGATTATAATACCAAAATGGCTTTGACGAGTAACGCCATCTTCGTGATGAGGCTCAAAACTTTTCAGACGACCCTCGTAAATGGAGCACAATTCGAACATTTATTATAATGTACATAATTCATTTTGTAGATTAATTGTTCTTTATTAATTAATAATATATTAATTGTTCTTTATTAATTGTAAATTTATTGTTCATAATTAATAATTTTATAATATTTATGCACATAAGTTCCTCCGGATTCTTTTAATAAAATGTTTAAAGTGCATTTGAATAAGTTTAAATTGAATATTAACAATAATACATAACTCTACATAAAGAGCTACTAATTTTTGCTAATTAAGATGCGAAATTGATAACAGATTGCTTAAAGAAGTCAAGATTGCTCAATCCGATTTTATTACGCGCGAAAAAAAAATTTTTTTCTTCACAACATTGAAGTACTCTTGAAACCGTACAACTTTTGTTTAAAAAATTTTTTTCTCTCTTTTATACTTCCGATGATATTCGCCTCGAAAAAAAAATACCGGTTTTTTTCTTTAAAGGGGTGTTTCACCCCTTAAACATGAGTTAGGACACGTATAAAAAAATACGTGTCTCTTAGATTATCGTGTTTAACAATATATTTCATGGAGAATCAAATCGGTTCCGGATAGTTGTGAAACTTCCCTTGTAAGTATTTCAGCAGATCACAACATCATTATAATTTTGAATTTATATTATGACGTAACAATTTTTGTCCGTCACTGTTGCGACAATTCTGTGGAGATCTTGCGTCCTCCTGGCTCGGAGGACGAGCGCATATGCGAGCATACGCTAATTATTTGTTTCATTAATCTGTTTGTTATAAATTACTTTTTCTAGCTTAGTTCCGACTTTAGATTTTCGTTGCCAATAATGAACCGAATCGGTGGTTGCGCTATTTTTATGTATTTCCGTCCATGGTGGAAAGATTACAAAAGGTTTGTTCGTGTCGCATGTTGCAACATGTTCCAATATGCTCCTACTCACTCTATCAAGCGCGTTAGAGTGAGTAAGGGGTTCCGCATAATAAAAGGAACAGGGAACAGAGAACAGAGAATAAGAATTTCAACCTATCAGAAACTTTGTATTCCACAATACATAATTTCTGTGTGGAGCCCCTAAGAGCTATAGTAGGAGCATATTGGAACATGTTGGAGCATGCAACGCGAACAAACCTATAGTGTGCTCAGTTTGCAAGCGTCTCTCTCTAATTCTCTGCCCTCTCGCTTGTTCGATGACCATTCGTAGTCCCAGTTTAGCCAACCTTAGTTGTCTTCGTCGCACACACATCATTGGATGCGTTCGGAAATCCTACTCTGAGTAGAAATCTTTCCATTCGCCGTTCGGAAATTAACTCGGATCGTACAAAACTGACTTACCAGTTGTGTTCGGAAATATCGAGTAAAGTCACTAAATTGTACTCTAGGATTGCTTTTTTAACCTCTGAATTTTCAGGTTGATAGAGTGAATCGTTTAACCACTGACAAGATAGCAGACAAATTGAATATTTCTGATTTATTTTATCTATATAATTTGGGAATCGTTTGAGGAAATTTGGGAAAAGCAATAATAAATAAATTTAAATATTTAGGAAATAGTATTTTTCTTGTAATTAACAAATTTTATGATGCGTCAAGTTAGCAGACAGCGATTTTATTTAATGTGTTTTATGAATGGAATCGATTAGAAATTATTTGAGGAAGACGTCTTCATTATTATTTTCATTTGGGAAAAGTCACTATTTGGTAATTCAATAGATTTATACATTACGAAAACGAACAAAGCCCGGATCTAATTATGCGAAGTTATGAAACTGACCAATCACAGTCGTTCCATTCTTCCGAGGAATAGCTGTGATTGGACAATTTCATAACTACGGATGTTATTAAACCCGATTAAGCGTGCCGTGTAGCAGAGGTCATTGAAAAGCAGATTCGCAAATTAGGTGTTAGCATGTTGCAGTAAATGATTGGATGGAAAAATTTCGACCAATATAAAAAAAGATACAATTAAAATGAATTTTGTAGTCAACAGAATTTCAATACATAATATTTATCTGTTCTGATAAGATTGTCCACGAGACCATTTCCTGCAGATAGTAAGATTGTAGAAGACATTGTTATCACGATAAATATAAGGAGATGGTTTTTTAAATAAAAGATATGTTTGTCATTATTTATACAGAATACCACCTCATTAATTTCCTAAAGCAAATTTTAATAGTGACTAATATAATGAATTAAAATTTGCTTTATGAATGTATCAACATGTATCGACAAATATTTAATAATATTTAAATCAATTATCAGGTGTACAAGTATGAAGTGCGGATTTGAGATAACAGATGATGCACCAATGCAGTGTGTAGTATAAAGATTTGACGTATATGCCATTTTGTTGTGCCATCAACAAGTGTCAAACGCGCATAAGTGATAAATTGAATATATTTAACATTCATTTAAACAACAATGATAAATGATGCATCATGCGCATCATGTATGAAATGGAATACATCCTTGTTGAAGATTACGAATATCTTTTTAAAGTTACAAAAATGATAAATCAATTTTTTTACTAAAGAAAATAAAAATGAATGTAATAGAAATACTATACTATCTTTAAAAAGAATCTCAAGGATACATAATTGCCATTCTTTCGTTTATGATGAAGTCTGTTATATGCAACAAATATGTACGTTTGAATTTATTTCTTTTATGGTTTGGATGGCGAAATTTTTGTTTGATGAGGAAGTACAGTATATATATATATATATATAT